AGAAAGAAAGAAAGCTCAGACAGAAACATAAAGAATCAAGCTCAATGAGAAAAACAAAGAGAAATTCTTATAATTCACCTGAGGAACAGAGGTTGGATGAGCTTCTTTCTTAGCCGACGCATCGCCACCTTTAGCAGACCCCTTAGTGTCACCCTGTCGGAGAATACAAGCAAAATATACAGAAACCTCACAATTTCGTCCATGGATGTCGACAAAATCACAGAGGCGTAAAGGATAACTCTATCTTACCTCCGTCTAAAACATCCCAAGTCCCAACCAGCAGGCAAACAAAGCAAAAAAAAAAACACAAAGCATCCGCCCATCAGTTGAAGCGCAAGTAGAAAATTAACAAACAAAAAATGTACAAATAAAAAGTTGAGCCTAGATGCAAAGCTCCCTGTTAGAAACACATCAAATCAATCGTGAAAAGTGGATAATGAACAATATGCAACTGCAAATTATATGTTCTACAGTTCATCAGAGATTTAGCATTAGGAATTAGCCGACGGACTACCTCTCTGTATTTCGTCAAGTAGGTTTTAAGCGGATCGATATAATCCTCAAATCCGAGAGTGGCCATCGCCCAAAGTAAATCATCGCCATTAATCGTCTTTCGTTTCTCTCTTTGGCATTTATCACTTGCCCTAGATTCAATTCAACCATAAAAAAATCCCCCAAATTCAGAACATGGATTAGGCAAATAACAGCAATGGATTATAAAAATACTCCCATACTCGCTGGTAATAAAACTGATGAACTCCGACACACATTCTTGTACGGTCTCCTTAGCATCCTTAGCAATCTTCCCATTAGCAGGAAGAGCTTTCTTCATGATCCTGCTAATATTCGCAATAGGAAGAAACCTATCCTGCTCACGAACATTAGACCTCGGACTCTGCTCGCCGCTCTCATGACTTCCTCCGCCGGGACTCGCCGGAGCATCAGCCATCTTCGCCAAAACCCTATCTTAAAAAACGAATCGCGAAACAACATCGTCAATCCCAGAGAGGAGGAAACAACAAAAGCCATGAAGAGTAGCAGAAAACGCAAGGTCGAGAAGAACTCAGAAGGAAAAATGGAAGATGGGTGAGAAATTAGAGGGGAAATCCGGAAAGGGAGAGAGGGGAATTGAGAGATTTGAAAGAATTGAAAAATGAAAAAAAGAAGGAAGTTATTGTTTTACCTGTTGGGAGAAACGGAAGATTTGTAATTTGGGCGCGAGAGAGAGGAGGAGTAAGATCGGGTGGAAATGGAGTGGTGGAATGGATCGGACGATGGTGAAGATAGGGAAAAGGAGACGACTGAGATGAGAGAATCAAGTTTATCACCACCGTTCGATTTTGTTTTTTCCTTTTCAGGCAATTCAGTAGGGGAAAACAGGAAAACCAAAGCGCTTTCTATTTTCTTTTCGCTTTTTCTTTTTCTTTATTTTTTTTTTTTTCCTTTTTTTGGGGATTTTATTTTAAATAAAATAATATTTTTCCAGTTTCCATGTTTTTCCGGGTTTTCCTGCGGCTTGCCGGTTTCTACTCTCGATTAAGTTCAACGAGTCGGATTTGGACACGTGTTGCTTTTTCTTGCAGATGTTTTTCCGCCACTCGTTTAGCGGTCGCCAAATTTGCTAAACGACGTCGTCCTTTTGCCGACTGAAATCGGCTCTCTCTCCCTCTCTCTACTGACTCATTGATAAATATGTGGCCGAGTTACAGAAAGGCGACACGTTTTTATTCTTCGTTTAACTTCCATTATTTATAAGATAATTAAATATTTTTAAAATTCGAAGATTTAATTTGATACTCAAATCTCCAATTAAATTAGAATGGCATAATAAATTTATGGATGTAAGCATAATTTAGCCTTATTATGTATTAAACTAATTTTAAGAATTTTTTTTATAGTTTTTAAGTAGATTATATGCCCATGCTATTCCTTCAAAAAAAAAAAAAAAAAATTAAAAATTGTATTACTATTGACTCAAAATTTCAAAATTTTAAATTTTTTTAGAGGGTATACATTAAGCTTGTAATCTATCAATTCATAATCTACGATACCGAAAACGTATATAATTGCCTTTAATTCCATCCAAATAAATTTTTAGTATCAGAATCTTTGAAATTCTAGGAGCATCAAAACTATTTGAAATATCTTTGTACAAAGTATTTTAAGATGTTGATCTATATGCATATCTCAAAAGAATTTTAGATTCCCACAAATTAATCGACCGTTGTAGGAATGCCCATTTCCACTCAACTAGCTCTAGATTTGGCTCGGATTCCATTTATGGCTCTCATTCGTGCCAAAATGTATAAAAAAATGGATGAAAAATGACAGATGTCGTAAAATAAACAAAAAAAAAACGTGGGTTAATAGAATAAGGAGAATGAGATTCATCAACTTTTTTTATTTACAGAGAATCAAGAACCATACGAGTTATTATGTTTGAGCATAAATAGTGGTGTATTTTATAGTTCTTTTTTCCTCCACAAAACTATATGGATTGTAAATCACTCCAGGTGAAAACCACAAAATCATGACAAATGGAGTACTCAATGACAGCCCTTCCAAAAATAAGCTGTTCAAAAATTTACAACTAGCTATCCATCCATTTCATCTATTTTAAGGAGATATGTAAGAAGAGTGAAAAAATATGGGACATTCACAAACTTTGTGACCCAACTGCTGCAAGCAAAAAGAATGCTAAAATAATGTGTTTTTACAATGACGACGACTACCTTGCAGTAGGTCGAGCCATGGATTCGTCAAACGACACGTAGTTTTCGTTTCCACATAAATCAAGAGATCCCATATTCAAAGAGTGGATTGAGTTTCTAGACATATCATCAGAGTTACCTTCTCTAGTTGCAGTAGCTTCCCTTTCAATCAAAAGTGAATCTTGTATCTCCTTCAGCACTTCAGATATGGATGGCCTCAGGTGCCCATGTGGCTGGACACACATCAACGCTTTCTCTGCAATTTTCCACATCGATTGAATGTCATATTCGTTGCGTAGCGATGGATCGATGATTCCTTGAATGTCCCCACTCTCGATGTGTAACTTTGCCTGCGTTACAATCAATCAATCAATGTGCACCATTCACAATCCATTTCATGAGATTTTGCCACATTTGGACTGTGCACCATATTTCCTTTCTCATTAACAGAACCAAAAGAATTAAACGGCTTGAGTACCATATCTGTTACAGTTTGTACTTTTGTTACAGGAATCAAGACTCACCCACTGGACGATGTTGCGGCAATTAACACCAAAGTTTACATTAGATATTGCTTCTTGACCAGATATCAACTCGAGAAGAATAACGCCAAAGCTATATACATCGCTCTTGTCTGTCAACTGCTGAGAGATATAATACCTGATAATAAAATAACGCAACAAGGAAAGCACCAAATAAGAATTTTTAGCAATAAAAAAAAATCAGAATTACATTAGATTAAACGCACTCCCACATCTGTAATGGTATGTCGAGCCAACCAATTTATATATATGACTTTACCCCAGGAAAAATTATTAATTCTCAAGGGGTGAAAAGCTTACTCTGGATCCAAATATCCTACAGTTCCCCGAACGATGCTGGACACGTGGGAGACACCATCCACCGCAAGCTTTGAAAGACCAAAATCCGAAACCTTTGCTTTCATGTGCCTGTCAAGGAGAATATTACTGCTTTTCAGATCTCTATGAATAATTGCTGGTATGCAACCTGTATGAAGGTACTCGATCCCTGAAAACATAACAAGCAGAATGTGTTGAGGAAAATATTCAAGGAAGATTCTTCCATGCACATGACAAAACAAGATTCATATAGCTTTTATCCAAACCTCTTGCAGAATCTTCAGCAATCTCGAGGCGCTTAATCCAACTGATAGTTTTTTCCCGTACTAGTGGACCTGTACACAAACAAGAAGTTAGTTGGCTTCTGAACCTGCATTGTTCTCTGCAAACATAACATGCGGGCTTACCATAAAGATGTTCTTTGAGAGTTCCATTATGCATGAACTCATAGACAAGCATACTTCTGTCCTCTTCTTGGCAATATCCAAGAAATTGTACCAAATTTCTGTGATGAATCCTTGAAAGAAGAGTCACCTTCAAAACAAATTGGTCATCCATCAGCCACAAATATCAATTTCTAATGTCATTAGGTTTTATCTAATAATCCACTCAATGCAATAAGAAAGGAAAATGACATCTAGACGTTCTATTTTTGTTGTTTCTTGCACTAATTATTTGAAAGACAGTGGTCAGAGTCTCCTTCTCAAAAAGCATTTTGTCCATGCGGAGAGTACATCACCAAAAAGGTATTTTAAAATTTATGAAAAGTACGTGGACTAAGACTAAAATTGGACATTTGAAAGTACATCACCAGAAAGGTATTTTAACACTATTTTTTATGTCCCATGTTAGTGCATTGCATTAAACTATAGATGAAGAACAGCTGATTATCTTTGATTAGACAGGGAAAGGAGCACAATGGCCAAACAATCCAAAAGGAATCGTGCTCTCTAAAGCTAGAAAGTCTTCTTAACTCTTCCTAACTACAATCTACCCTCCCCTTGGCTCCCTCTCTCGTCCCTCCCTTGTGGAGATTGAGGACCGATTAAGCACTCTCCCTGACAGTATTGTTCAAATGATTAGCATACTCTTCTCCCTACACTTAACAGGCCACCAGTATATCCTTGTGTATGTAAATTGATTGCGTGAATGCTTATGCTTCTATCTATACCTACTGCCAACACTTCCACATTGTCCAAGGTGGAAAATAGGAAGGTGTTAGTTTAGAAATTCAAAGTTCTCCCTTAATGATGATGCTAGCATGTTCCACTGTACAAGGACCACCAAAGCTTGAGAATCATAATCAGGCACAAGATGAACTCCTAACACAGCCTCAACAACATATTGAGTTCCAACTCAAGACTCAACGGCAGAGGTAAGGAGCTAGGCTGAAAAACAGACCTTCTTAATGGTTTAAATGGTGAAATATTGAAGATATAAAAGTGAAAGGAGCAAGTTCCTCATTTGTATCATTTGATTCAATAGGAAGACACAAAATTGCAAAATTTTCAGAATGATTGGCTTGCTCCCACGCTTGAAGGTTTTCTAACTTTTTCCCGACAGCATACCCCTCCCTAGGCCCTCTTCTCTCATTTCTTATAGCACTAGTAGATCCCACTAAAAGTTCTCCCAAATGGTTGTGCACAAATATTTAGCTTAACCTTCTCCCAACACTTAATATCTCATCAGTCACAAGACTCACGATTTAGTCAGTCCCACGTGGTCCTCTCCAGTTTCTACAACATAATTGACACGAAAGAAAAAGAACAAATGATATAAGAAAGTATCGTGTAACCCGCCAACACGACCAATGTATTAATGGAAATCACAAAATGACAATTCAAGTATAACGACTGAATTGAATGGAGGATCCGTTATACGTATATTACCTCGTTCGCAAATTCCCGCTTTCCCTGGAAGGAGTTATTAGTCAAAACTTTAACTGCAATTTCTTTTCCGTCATTTAATTTCCCGTAGTATACAACACCAAAACCTCCAGACCCAATTTTTCTTTCAAAATCTCTTGTTGCTTCTACAATTTCATTAACACTGAAGCAATGTGCGGTTTCCTTGGGGGCATCACCCTTTGAAGAGGCAAATCTTTGTACAGGCAAGGATTCTTCAAGTAGATCTGCTAAATTAATTTTTTTAAATATACATAACCATGTCAAATCAACTCATGTTCTTGAAAGGAAAAAGTTTCTGTATGTACCTTGTTCTTGATATCTTTTTCTTCCTTTTTGCAAAAAGTAGCAAGATACCACAGTAGCCAACAGGAGGACAAGAGCACCAATTACTGAACCCACAATGATATAAACGTGGTTCTTTTTCCCCCCTTCATGAAGATTGATGTTTCCAGAGTAGCTGTTAATCAAACGAGTGCACATAGTGAAGGCAAGTATAGAGAGTAATGAACTTGCTCAAAACCTTAAATAGTTGGTATACAAAGGGTAACAAGGCTTTTGGCAAAACAACAATTATTTTAAAAATGACAATCCATTTCAGACAAAAACCTGCTTGCTTGCAGCAGTCATCCCAGGACTTATTAGGCAGGCCCGAAGAATTTATTTTCCTTGAAAAAATCACTTTTAAGATTATTTTACCTAGCATTGACCCACAGTTCTAAGGCTTTGTATAAATAAATACGATCATATATTGCAGACTAGGAATGATTTACAATCTGAAAGAAGGAAAATTCACAAGTGAATATTTATTAATCTCAAATCATCTAGTATTTCCACAACACTTTCAAGCACAACCTACAAGAATTCACCTCCAAAAAAAATTCAAAGTTCAGGATAATTTAAGAGCACAATGAAACAATCTATAGACCAAGTATAAATCAGAAACTCACTCTATGACTAGGTTTTTATTGAGAAGACCAGAAGGCACTGTTCCAGATAACATGTTATTCTGAACATACCTACAACCATCAGATACATGAAATATATTAAACACCTCACTTGGAATCTGTAAATGTAAACTCTGTTAAATACTACAAAGTAGTCAATTCAAACATATGGCAAGAAAATCCTCAATACTTACAGCTCCCGTAAACTTGGTAGATTTGCTAAAGAGGAAGGCAACTCTCCAGTCAACTGGTTGTTCTCGAGATGGCTAAAGAAACAAATATCTCAGTCAGCTTAAAAACCTTCAACAGAATATGAGATATAATTGAAGTCATTTGAGATTACAGGATTTTTAAGTCCGCGCATCCAGTAAAGTCTGGTATAGGACCTACGAACGAATTTCCATCAAGCCATCTGCATAGAGGCCACAAACAGATGGTGAAACCAAAAGAGACATGAACCTTTATGGATGTAGAATGGAAATAAGACAATTGGACAACCAAGAAAATGTTATACGCAAAATGGAACTTACAATTCAACTAAACCGCTCAACTTTGCAAGGTCTGTGGGGATGCTCCCCGTCAAATTCTTTTTGGACAATGAACTAACAAGTGCCAAAGGAAGATATAGTAACTGGAATGATCAAATATAGTTGAGCATAAATAGACTTGAAAAATGGCTGAAATGGCAACAACTTTTACATTTTAACTATTCTTGACCGTGGATCAGAGTTACATTGCAACCATGACCAAGGAACTGGCATGCATGGATCACCACCTTCATCCCAATCTGAAGATGAAAATTTTGAAATTACACTAGCAGCAGCTGCTCCTGAAGTTTAGCAAATGTAAAAAGATAAATACACTATTATTAGCAAACATAATCAGCAAAGATAAATACACTATTATAGGACCAATAAATATATAACATACGATAGTTTAAACTTAAAACCAATTTGAATTTAGGCTTACCATCTAGAGAACCATCACTTTTTTCAAGATACTTGTTAATCTCCATAGCGTTTAACAGAGGTCCCAACGAAGAATCCGATGTTTTCCCAAACCGAAAAGATAATACAAAAGGGAAGGTTAAGTTGGTAAAACCAGGCTCATAAAGCCGATATTTTCCTTGAGCATTTTCTTCAATGTTGACTACAGCTTTGCTGATATCAGGCATGCCGGGAAGTACAAGCCTGAATTTTCTCGTATCAGTTGGACCCAAGTCTTCAATTTCTGCGAAGTAGGTGACAGCCCATCCAAAGCCAGGGAAACCATCCAAATTTAACCGGTAAGTTAATGAACCATTTCTTCCGACTACAGCCGTCTGCATAACTTTTTGAGGTGGCCTTTCATCTCTATCTACATCTATTGGCATTTTAGTGGAAATTTTTTCTGTACCAGCAGCAACATCAACAAGGTAATTTGCTTTTCTCACTGAGTCTGACTCCCATATCCGGTCAAATGGATCATCAGGATACCTGCCGTGATGGTTTCATGTTACTAATACATTAAAAAAAAAATTGATCTTTATATAAATATTAAAAGCATTCTCACAATAGATGGCACTACGAAGCATGGTAAAAAAAAATAAATAAATAAATAAAAATCCAGTTATTGATTGTTTTATTTATTTACTGCTGGCTGCTTGTGGACCTATTCCTGCGGCTATAATATATGAGTATATGAGAAAGCAACGATACTACAAGTGATGACTAACCTTACTGGAGCTTCGGAATCTGCACCAAAATTAATCCTTGCTGAGACACTCAGGTAAAACTGATCCTCAAATTCAGTATAGTAGGTAGAGCCATTAAATTGTCGAAGCTCAAGCGTGGATATGAATGGCTGCCCAGTTGTAGCATTTGACAAACAGACGCTTACTGTTGGAGTTGAAGCCAGAAATATGAGCTCTCGAACTTCTATAGTGTTGGCATCAGATATGACAATTGTTGACCAGTGAGTTGCCCCAAGGGAAATATCAAATTTTGGATACACGTTGTTATTGTCAAAGTTACCATATAAAAATGTTGCTCTGAGAAGGTAACGTGTTCTACTAGTGACATTGAGTGAGTAGCAGTACTTCCTGGAATCAGCAGGGAAGTGTCTTAAGGTCAAATATTGCTTCTTTGTCTCATTTACAACAGAAATGTTAATTGCTTCTCCAAAACGAATTTGAGTATCTGGAACCCACTCCAGACCAATATCGTCAGTGAAACTTTCTTGACCTCCACAGTCCAAACTTACAAACCCTACTCCACACAACATACAGAATACTTTAGATTCGTAGTAAATACTTAACCATTCGGTTTAACGATCTCTATAGTTCATATCGAGAATAAACATGGTAAGAATTACTGCATGGCAAGCTTCAAAAAGACAACCAAATAAAAAAGATGAAGAAATTCTTAGAACTTGTAAAGTAATGTTCAAAGAGAATTTGGCAAGCTTCATACAACGACAACCAAATAAAAAGGATGAAAAAATTGTAAAAGAAAAATTGACACAGAAATGTTCAAAGGGAAGAGGGAACAATTAAAAATCACTCCAACATTAAATATTAAAAAACCATGCGGTACAAAGTATCAAGTTAGTCAACACCGAGTCCAAGATATAAACATCAGAATATCAGCAACAAGATTCAAATACCAGAAAGGATATCTAGCATCAATATAATCAAGCTCTTTCCGTAATTGGATGTATTCTTTTGGATACTTTCAATCAACGTTCAAGAATGGAAAGCGCCAGTCATCAACTAAAACCAAAAGTTTAGGTAATGGTGACGGCAGCGATAGGTTCTAAGACATCTAAAATGCATTCTTCATAGACAACAAGCCAGAATCTAACAAACACTGCAACAGCCATTGAGCAGACCGGAAAGAGTGAAAACTGAAGACTCGGAGATAACGCCATATAAAGCTTGACAAAAACAAAGAAACCAACAACCGCAAAGCTCGATAAACCTCGCGACATAAAAGTTAGTCGAAAACGAGTATAAAGTCCAAGGAGCATAGAAAATCACTGAAGAAGCTGGAAAAACAAAGATGGAGTAGATACCTGGCATCTGAGCAAAGCATGCGTGGAAAAGAAAAAAAAGAAGAAGAAGCAGAAGCTTAGTCTCCATTCTAGCGAGCGTGAAGAAACGATTGGAAAGAAGATTCAGATATCCGTCATTCTTGAAGCCATTGAAGCGATTTGAGAGCTTAAGAGAACAGAAGGGCAAGAAAGTGGCGCACAGAGAGTAAAGTAAGCAAGAAACAACGATGGGTATTATTATTAACAATTCTTCAATTCAATAATCATTTGCGAAATGGAATAATTGAAAGAGAGAGAGAGATTGGACTGAGTCGAATTGGCGCCTTCTCTCTCCCTCCTCCGAGCTCGGCTGATTCTGTTATATATATATAATATATTTATATTTTTTATTATTTATTTAAATAAACCTTCCAACATTAGTGTGAGGTATATATTTCTTTAAATTTTTTAAGAAAATTCAAACTAATTTTAAAAAAATTAATTATAAATTTAAATATTTTTACGACAAGGAAAAAAAAACGGTAAGAAAATAAGCATGATTTCAAAAAAAAAAAAAAAATCAAATATAAATAGTTATATCCTGTCTGCGACATCGATCAAATTCTCGCCCACAAATCAATATAATAGTTTGTATTTATGTTTTTCTTGTAACATTTTCATTTTCAAAATGTCTCTCAACATATAAATTTTCAAAGTAAACCATATTAAATTTAGAGTTTTTAAGATCAGAACATAAAAAATATGTACGTTGTTAGTATAAGTAGTAATTTACAATTTTTTTAAGATCTTATTATCGTAATTACTCTTATTCATCGATTAATTCATGTACTCTTCTTTTATTTGGGTGTTATACGTCCACCAGCTTTCATCTTGATTCGTTCGTCCTCGAACTACATCTTATTAGGAGATGTACCGCTTTAATACTATTTGTTCTGTGAATGGTGGGAGAATTACATCATTATAAATTGCTACCTATATTAAAATATAGACTTAAATGAAAGAGGTAGAAAAATCTATATAAAAGTAAATAAATAAATAATAAAACCAAAGAAACTGAACAAAACAAAGCCATAAATATTGAATTATAGTTTAACTTAATATTAGTTATTAATTTCATTGAATTTAATTAATTAATTAATTTCTTTTTTTTTTTTTGACAGGATCGGGTCATGGGGATGCGTGGGACCCAGCAGAAAGGTGAGATTACAAATATACAAGGATGAAAAAGCTGGAGTGAGACAACAAGGTACGGTAGGCTGTCCACGTGGACGAACGTGATTTAGTGCAGATGGGCCCCACCACTAGGTTGCATCCGCGTCACAATGCATCTAATTTCAGCTGGAAAGGTAAAAATAGAATAATAGTCAATAATTATTAATCAAAAGATAATTTAGGGGTTAAATTGATGATTATTGTTAATTATTGAATATCGGAAAAGGATAAAGAAAAACCGAACATCGAATGTTGCGCACGTGCTGTCGGTTTGGTTGGGCGTACGGAAAAAAAAAAAAAGAATAAAACAGGTGAACCGGCGAACCGGATTGACCGGCTCGTTGGCGGGAATTAATAGTGAATTCCGAAAAGAAAACCAATTGATTAGGATTCAAAGTAACTTTCTGTCTGTGTTGAAAAAAAAAATATCGAAAATAAAAAAAGAAAAAAGAGTTAGCTTTTATGTCTTTAGACTTTAATTCTTTGAATTTGAAAAAAAAAGTATTTACTTTAATTCTGTTTCAATATAATTTATTTTAATTTTTTACTTCAGATATTAAATTTTAAAATTTATCTTTGCAAATCCGCTTATTTAACGTTTAAAATAAAATCCTTTTAATAGCGTAATCCCACATTATTTCAAACTTTATATGAGAACCTATAAACTGATGACGATGTGGTGTTATGAGAATATTACCATGAATAATATAATGTGGAAGTTAACGCTTTATGTTGCTAGTATTAAGTTAGCTGCATTGCTATCACTTCCATTGTTTTTTTATTTCGAGATTCTTCGGATTTAAGATTTTCTTTTTTTTTTAAGAAATCTATTTTGATTATACTTATTTCACTTTTTAGTCGAAAATTAGGCCGATTATTCCATTCGAGTGTCTTTCTTTTAACACTTTCCACCTAATTTTAAGTATAATTGGTATTTTCAATTCGACGCCAATATACAAATAAAATTGAAATAAAGGGAAGCTTGCAAATATTAATTATAATATATATATTTTTAATGGATTTTCTTGATTATTTGCCTTTAAAACACAACGGATGGGAGGGAAAAAATTAAATTAAAATGAAATAAAAGAGAAAAAAGCTTTGGTATAAAGATGCTTAATACCTCTTCCTTTTGAGGACCCCTTTTCCTTTGCTCAGTGGAATCAAATGCTAACAGCTAATGTGTTATATGATTTTAGCTGTATTTAAATTTTTATATTTTTGTATTTTTTAGAATTTTTAAAAAGTAAAAAGCAATAAAACGGCAAAGAGATAATGCGTTTCACATGACTGTTTCACTTTTTTCTAACACTTGCTTAGTGGTCAAGTTTCTGAATGAGAATTATGGTATATACTTTGCCACGTGTCTCTAATTTTGTAATTTATGTCCATAATTTTAAGAAAAATTCCTTTTAAAATTCATGCTCATAATTTAACAATCATTAGATAAAAAAAAAAAAAAAAAAAAAGTTATTCTCAGACCATTAGAACCCCAGGATAATAATTAGTGATTCACTCTAGTGGGCCGCCCAACAAGAGATGGGCGGCCCATCTCTAATTGGGCTGAAATCGGTCCATGGAATGTGAAATTTATAGGTATTTTTGTATGGGGGAATAATTTGAAATTAACGATACTTTTAAATATTTGTGTTAAAATTATTAATAAAATTTTTAAAAGTGGATAGCAAATTTAAAACAAAATACTTACATTTTCTAATTTATTTACATAATTTAAAGATATTATTAAAAGTATTGAGAGTTAAATTGATAAATAATTCTATAATTTAGTTTTTAAAAAATGAAAAAAGGAGAAACTATTTTGAGAAGTGACGTGTGTAACTAGAGTACCTATAAATATTTAGAGAGCAGCCGCAGCAGCGAAGAACCGAAGCTTCATATCTCGATCCGATCGCCATCTTCACTGCTCTGAAACAACATTTTTGTCACGCAATTGATAGGCGAAAGCTTTTAATCCCTTGTCTGCCTCCAGAAAGGAGCCTACCAATTGTAGCCATCGCTAAAGAGAGAAAGGGATGTACCTCTGCTTCTGCAAGGAGAGCCCGAAACGACCGATTATTCTCTGTGAATCGGGGACGAAAACTCTGCAAGGTAACCACAGTTCTCGATTATCAGTCTTTCAACCATTTTTATGCACAAATTTCAGAAGAACATAGCTTGGTATGCTAAAATAAGATAGTGAATGAGAAGAGGACGCTCTGAAGTCTGAATCAGGAGATGAACTGACCGGTAAATTGAATGAAATTTCGTTGCGATGCTTTCGATTTAGGGTTTGCAGAATGAATAGTTGAGTCAATACTGTCTGACAGTTGCTAATAATTGATGGATGGATTTGTATTTTGACGATTGGACTTTTCATCTTCGACTTTTTGTTTTCTGACAACACGATAGGAACTTCGCTTGATAAGGAGAAGACGGATCAGTAGGGTGCAGGCGGAGGTGACGGCGGATGCCGGCGAGGCGGGCGGAGATGGGCCTTAACTGCCGTAGGCACAGGCCCTACGATGAAGATCGGCAGAGATCATGAATGCGACTCTCCCGCAATGAGACGAATATTCTTAGCTAAGTATTTCGAACTTATTTTTTGCATTTCGAAACTATATTTTTCCAATATTGCCACCATAGACTAAAATAACAACAATGCATAAACATTAATTTAAAGATTTTTGTTAACTAAATATATTGATATTTTAGCCCCAAAAAAACGGAAAAAAAATGACTAAAATGTCGAACTGGCATATTCTCGTCTCAAAATGTATTACTGTAGGTTGTTATCCACACATTAATTTTATATGTTTTAGAGCAAACATGATCATAAAAGAAATTTTTAGGTTTTTAATGGAATAGGAATACTTCATCTATCTGTTCGTCACATTAGTAGGGTCCACCAACGTCACTGTGTAAGGAACATGGGTATGATGCTCTCTCTCTCTTACGATGCTAGAAATTTTTGTTGCTTATAGATTAATGATTAGGATATTTACTCTTTTTTTTTTTTAGGTTCGATATTCAAACTTTCATTACCACATTGGTTGTATTTAAATTTTTTCTCAATTAAGTTTAACAAAAAAAAAAAAACAAATGTAATTTTTTATTTTAAAATTTAAGTTTATACAAAGTAATATGTGCCATCATTAGCTACACGATTTTAAAATGTATTTACTAGAGAGAACTAAGGAGATTTGTTTTAAAACGCATCTACTAGGGAGAGTAGTCATTCACACCACTCAATATCTAGTTCTGATACTATTTCTAATAGCCAAATTCCACTACGGGTAGATATTGTCTTCTTGGTCTGCTTGTTTAGAAATGCATCTATTAGTGAGAATTTCCACGTCAATACAGTGGTTTTTTTTTTTTTTTTATAATTTTTTTTTAGGTAAAAAGGTAACATAAGAAATAGAGCTTAAAAACTGAAATATGGAAGATAAGGAAATGAAGGAAAGCCATGGAGTAGCTTGCAAGATTAGGGCAAAACCCAAGCAGTTTTACAATCCTTAAGTTCAAAGGAAATGAGTGATATGAACATCCAGTAATCTCAACATACTGAATCTTAAAATACATCAATAATTGGCGTTAAAATAAGGCAGCAGACTCAGACTGTGGGTTACCTGTAATCTTTCCGAAACAAAGAAAGAATGATGCATTTGAAGAGAGATATTTGTGTTCCTTCTTCCCATTCCACCCGGTGCTGTCTATCTCTGTTCAACTCCTACAGTAGAAGATTGCTGGGAAATGGGTTTCACCAACACCAGATGAAGCTGATGGAATGGCAGTCGAAGAAGAAGAAGAAGAAGAAGGGAATCCTGATGATGCTGCAGCAGAGAAGAGTGGCACGGAGGTTGTTCCACTTGGGTGGCCATGGATTTGCCACTCCCATGACCCAACCCCCATCCTCATCTCTGTTGCTCTTTCCTGCATTTTTTTTACCAATTTTAATCATGTTACTGATTCAAACATCCACAAAAAAAAAATATACCTCAATCAGTTTAGATATACATTATAGAGCAAGGGTTAGAGGTTCAAATCTTTCTAACTCCACATGATAAGTCAATCAGTTTAGATATATATCATCGACCAATTGATTAGTGGTTCAAATCTCTTAACCTTATGTGATAGCACCACATGAGTTAGAGGCTCAAATCTCTTTAACCCCACATTATATTTCAATTGGTTTAGATATATATCATCGAACCAATAGGTTAGAGGTTCAAATCTGTCGACCCGACCCGATGAATTTTCTACTTTATGTGAGAGAGAGAAAAGAAAGAAAAAGAAACTAGGTAAAGTAAGGTGAGCCCCACATGATAAACAGATATATCTACTCTTATCTACTTAGTACGTGAGGAGCTGAATGTAAATAAAAGAAATATGTACCCTTGAACTGAAATAAATGTGTTTTGTGGACCTCACATAATAAAACAACATACTTACGGAGTTCCTAGGTAAGCTGAATATAACAAAATGGCGTATGTAGTGATTATAATTACCCTTGAGTTGGGAAAGAAACTGGAGTTTGAAACACTCCAAGGAGAATGGTAATTGGAAGGCACTGCAAAGCTATACGGCTGGGAATGGGATGATCTAATTGCTGCTGAAACAGAGTTCTCAGGCTGCCAGTGGAGATACATGTTAGCCAAGCATCAAAACAAAGCGAAATGCAGCATTGAGAAACAATTACCATAGCTCTTCTCTCAAACATGGCAATGCTCTCACTTTGAGCCTCACAGAGATTTGGGGGAGCAATTCCCAAGTTCAGATCAAGAATCTGGTTGTTCTCTGCATATGGGACATAATCAACACAGTTTTCGATACCGAATACTCGATCGACCGAGCAAACAGGTCGTTAAATGATGAAGTAGCAAATTGGATAGCCAGAGAAGGAGCAAACCTGCTGTGCCAGCCGCCTCAGAAGCCATCTCTGCAACATAAGAACTTGGTTCAAAGTTTGTGACAGCCTCCTTACCATTGCATTTCAAGGCAGCTTTGTCATATGCTCTGATTAAACAGCAAAACATGAAGTTAAAATGAAATGGTGTAAGTTTTTGAAAGGGTTAACAAGAATGATTTTAAGAAGACCTTGCAGCCTCAATCTCACTATCAAAGAGACCAAGATATATGTACCTACAAGGAGGAAAAAGCCAATAATACAGCTCAATTCAAGACAAAAACCCAGAATCATAAGCCAACAAAAACACAGAAAACAAAGTCCTAGGATGTTCTGCCCAAAAGTTAAGAGAATACTCACTTCTTGCCCAAGAACTGACCCATCCGAGCTTCCCATCGCCCACATTTATGCAGAGTGACTCCTCTGTACTTGGAGCTCCCCCTCGAAAATCCAGTGCTATGGCGGCGAAGAATATGAACAAACTCTTCCTTGGTAAAATTAATCATCTGGGACATTAATGGCAGCCAAGAGTAAAGCTCTTCATCAATGGCGTTAGAGAAAGAGTTTGAAGTTCTGACAGTAATGAGTATTAACTTAGCCAATCCCACCTGCTTAATATCTTCATCATAATCACTGACATTGAAATTGATATCTGCATCGACCCCCCGAAACTTGATCGCCGCCCGATCATACGCCCTGAAATGGAAAATCCGAATTCTAACACACAAGCAAACGAGAAGATAAATGGTTTGTAGTTACCTAGCAGCCGCGTGTGCAGTATCGAAACCACCTAAAGGGGGAGGAAAACAGCCATGGCCATGAACAAGATTTAGATCAGAAAGAATGAAGAATCGAAGTTTGAACGAAGAACATTAAGAAATCATACCCAGATAAACTTGTTTCCCGCAGTCCCTGTAATGGACAGAAAATGTGCTCAAGAATGGACGGATTCAAGTTCAAGCAATCTAATATGGAGAAGGAATTAAAACCCTTACCAAATATGCGATTCCCATCTTCCTGTTCTTCGATAAAAGGTAACGCCACGATACTGCGAACTTCGAGACCTTGGACCTCGCCGATTCTTCCTCATCGGCTGATGCTGTTGTTGCGCCGGCGGTGCTGTTATTCTCCGCTCCGGCGCTCCGCTCCAACAATGAAATTCCGGCGGAGAAACCTCCAGCCACTGCTTCTGAGAACTCGAACCAGAAGATAACCCGCCTGTTAATGGAAAAAGCTCCATCGTCTGATCGCGGTGGTTATCGGAAATACAGAGTGACTTGGCCGCTAAGTTTTCCTGAACCGCGCAGTCTTTACCGAAGGCGAACGGGAAAGCTTCATCAGCGTTGGAAGATGAGTCCTCGTCGCCGGTAGTGCTGGCAGAAAGATCGCCGTTAAAGCTACCGGCGCTTTCCATTCTAATTGGCGGAAACTGGAAAAGCCTCTCAGTAACCATCTCAACCGAATCAGAGGAAACAACTTGGAGGTTAAGATCCAGCATTGGGTTTGAAGCTCCACGTTCTGCAAATGCCATTGAAATCAAAGCATAATTGGGATCTTATTGAATCAATCCATCACAACTCTGCAGTAGTGGTTACAGAAACATAGAAGCACGGTGAAAGAAACTGATAGAAAATGAAGGAAGAAGAAGAAGAAGAAGAAGAAGAGAAGAAAAACAGAGAGATTCTGAGAAGAGTAGAAAAGGGTCACCAGTAAAGAGAATGATAACTGTTTTAGTATGATTGTGAGGGGCAGAGGAGAGAGAAAGGGAGAGAGAAAGTGGGAGAAGCCGTTGTTCTATTGGAGGTGGAGCTCGATTTCCATGGCGGATGGGAGAAAAAGGGAGAAGTGGGGGACTCACTTCTTCTTCCTCTCTTTCTCTGTGGTGTATGAAAGAAAACAAGGGAGACTGTGGAGGTTAAATCAATCAGACCAATGGACACCAATTGTGACTCAGACCACTCTCTCTTTCTCTCTCTCTTTTCCTTTTTAAAGTTTGAGTTTAAAATACATTTTTTTACTTTAATTTAGTACAACCTTTTTTAAGCAATTAATGGCATATTTTATGGAAATATAATAATCTTTTTTTAGTACTTCATTCATCTTTCCATTTCAAAATTTCCTAATCATTTCTACCATTACAATTAATCTCAAAGTCTAGTAAACACAAGCATTAGAATTTGTTTCTTATATAAGGATATCAAATATATTAGTCAAACTCAGATTTTTTTTTTTTTTTAAGTGAATTTACAAAATGTAGATCAATTCTCAAAACATTCTTTTTCTTTTTTTTTTTCAAGAACCATTTTTTTATTTTGCCCAACTACCAAAAATAGTGTACTTAAATGTGACAAACCAATGCTGATTTTTTTTTCTTTTTTTAATTTTATAATGCATTTGGCAATGGGCATTAGCCATTGCTAAATATTTTAATGTATAATTACCCAATTGGAAACTAAAAAAATGTGTTTTTTAATTAATAAATAACAACATTTTTTAATAGAAGGCAAAATCAACCAACTAAACCATTGATGCCTAGAGCCAATACAAGATTTATCTATTATATAAAAAAAAAAAAAAAAACAAATCCGAAGAAAAGATAATAAATATAAATTATAAGATTATAACTTTTCTAATAATAATAATAATGAAATTAAAGAGAAAACGTGTTTTATTATGGTCAGAGAGACAGAATCATGTACGGTACGGTGCACTGGAATTTAATGTGAATAGCTTTTTGTGGTACAATAAATTGTAACATTGTCATTGATAGGACATCAACTTTTCAAAGACAAAACCTTGGGGATTAAAAACACTCTTAATACATTAACAATTACCATTTTTAATTCTTTAACGCAAAAAAAATAATAATAATAAATATCTTTATTATTGATTTTACAAATTCATCTGAAGGTTTGAAAAAAATTGTAAAAAATAAGTAAAATTATTAAAATATAAATAATATTGAAGATTAAAATCTTTAAGATTTGTAATTTTTGTATTGTATAGGTAGGACCAAGTACCAGAGGACGGCCCAACAAGATAGTGGGCCGTCCAGTAGTAGCCCATCTCATTTTATACATATCTCTCTAGGATTGGGCTGCTGCTGGATACAACGTGATTAATCTAAACAAGGCTCATCTGGATCAACCATCAAGATCAATCAATATTGTGCATTGTTCTTCATTGGTTATGAAGAACCCCATATATTATATGAGAACTAGTCATTAAATTGCATGAACATTCATACCTAAAGTGAACCCCTATAGTACAAAGATATCTGTAACTATCAAAATAGCAAACAATGGATTCAATTTTAAATATAAGTTTGAAGTGTAAATCAAACACTAAACTGACCTCCCTAAGCTCTTCAGATGTTCAATTCCATTTCCATAAGTAGACAAGAAAGGGGGCAAGAAGGTAGGAAAAGGCAAAAACAACAGCATACAAAATTTAATTGACAAACTAATGTCTATGAAGAAATTGTCAAAGAGAAACGAAATCACTGAGACACACCAAGCCACTTGGAGAAATTCTCGAACTCGGTGTAATCACTATCTGAAATCATTGTTTGGTACCATGCTTTGCCTGCTGCCTTTACTGCTGTAGCTTCCTCCTGAACACAAAATCGCCACAACGGTCAACAGGGCTAACAGTATCATATCAAGCCAGATTAGGGAACTAACTCTACATTCATCCTAGATAAAAGCCAAGCCACTAACATTTGATCTGTGAAG